CACCACAATTACCTATTAAAAGGATTTTTTCTCTTACAACAGCGATCCTGGTATCAGTCAGTTTGTAACTGATATTCTTGCTGTCACAAACATGCACAGAGATCCCTTCCCAATGAATATGAATTTCACCTCTAGATATCTACATTTCCAAAAAGCCATAGAAGCTTATAATGGTTTGTGTTGGAAGGGAGCTTAAAGATCATCTGTCTGCAGCCTCCATGGGCAGAGACACCCTTCTCCACTAGGTCAGGTTACTGACAGCCCCATCCAGAGCAGCCCTGAAGACTTCCAGGGATGAGGTGAACATGCCAGGGTTTGGGCCTTACTCATATTTATCAGCAGTGCCACAGTTTTTCTTTGATTCACAGATAGTAATTAGATTTGCATTTTTGGCAAGCAGGATGTTCACAGCTGTGAAGCAATGTATTTTTCTCCTTGGAATATCCATTCTTGAAAAAGGCTGGAAATGAATAACTAGGAAATGACATTTTGTAAAGCCATCACAGCTTTTCATCTTGTCCAAAAAGCTTTTCCACCACAGAAAGACTTCCCTCCCCCAGAGTTTCTCCCCATGTCAGTAAGATGACCGTATGACTTTGTTACTGATATTGTGCATTTATAACTTTCTTACAATTATTTATTTCAAAAAAACCACTGCTTTGTATTCATGCCATTAGTATGGTGTATGTATCATTACATGGATTTAGATGGATGGGAGGCATGCATTTTTCAGTTTCCAGTAGCTTTTCAGAATGTTTTGCTTCATCACCTAAAACTGATTGATTTCCTCACCAGTAGTTATGTTCTTATTGGTTCCTGGTACTAGAAATAGTTCCATCTGATTCATTGTAACTGAAAGAAAAACACTATATCTTTTTTAACATTCAGACAGGCCAGCTGCTCTCTCTGCCTTCTCCATTTTTACTTTTTTCTATTTGAAGTATTGAGCATGGTAATATTTGGGCTTTTGCTTCAAAATAAGAGTTTATTTTAGCTTAAATACTTGTTGGCAATTTGAAATACAGAATCACAAAACGAAGAAAGAATTTTCAAGAACTTTCCAACTGCTTCCAAAAATCCTCAGAAGATACCACTGAAATAAAATAATAATAAAATTGTGATATTAATAGAAATTCCAGTTCAGTTATTTTATCTGGAGAAGATCATCTAAGGGCTATCAGCTCTTGGAATGTTCTTTTGATAACTAGCATATCCTTTTGCCCTAGTCTTTTATAGGAAGTATTGAAAACTGAATTTTGTTTGCTGCAGGTAAATATTTCCTAAAAGAGATGAGCTTGCAGATTAAGGATCCTTTTGTTGTTTCTTCTCCCTTCTCCACATGTCCAAACCATTCCCCTTCTGCTTGCTGCTCCTCTTTTTTAAGTGTGTGAATCTTGTCAAGGATTTTACTATAAAAATCCTGGTGAATGATTTTGAGAGCAGACTTCTGAACCTCTTTGACCTTGAATGGCTCAGAACCAGCATCTGGTTTCAGAGTTACTTTCTAGTTCATTTGATGTTAAATTAGCCTCAGAAACTGTATTCATTGATGGTAAATTAAAGGACCCATTTCCTGAAATTTAGCTTTGCAGAATCAGGTCTTGTGCAATATTTTTTATTGCAGGTGCTTGGAAAATAAATTCAATCCAGCATCCCATGTAGGATGGAATACAGAGACAATCGCAAACATTAGTGCATAATGAAATAGTTCTTGAAGATTTAAATGATACAGATATTCCCATAATAGTTTATTTCACTTTCTCAGGTGACAGGGAATGGTATGAACTTTAACATTTGAAATATAAGCAAAAATTGTCTGCCTTCCCTCTCTACTTTAAATACTCTTTGAGGAATTTATTTTGTTTTAATCAATCATTTAATTTCTCAAGCATGCTATCCCTGAAATTCTGCAAATTCATGAATATTCTGAAAATTCATGCTTACTAAATTACATTTCTATGTTGACACTGAAGTTCATTAGCAAAAACTATGTTTACTTAATGCTACTTCATTCATGCATTAGAGAAGTCAGATATAAATTAGTTTCTGTTTTCATTGCCTTAACTTTTAACAATCACAGAAAAAAATTCAAAGAGGAAAATAGTACATAAACCTGCTATCTTTTTAAATAATCTGGCTTTCTCATGGACAGACAGGTTCTCCTATGTGGGCAAAAAGCCATGGCTGGGGTGGGTGAAAAAAAGAATAATGTGGGAAAATATGTACTGAAGAGGCTTCCTTAACACAAAACTGTAGGATTCCCAGGAAGAGATATTTGTCCATGTGGTGTCCGGGCAGGGCTATGAAGTAGGATATTCTAAGAACATATTTAGCCACTCGCAGGTTTTTCTCCTTTATGTCTCAGTAATGTTTCATCTGGTGCATTAACTGTACATTTAATTTTTTTTTCATTTATTTTGGTCTTTCTGTTATTGTTCTGGAAAAAAAACCACCAAAACCAAACCAAACCAAACAAACCATTTAATTCTGCTTGAAATGAGAATTCAGAATGGTTTTCTGTGTCTTATAGAAGTACAAAATGTTGGAGGCAAAAAATAAAACCACATTTTGTAAAAATCTAATCAGCTTCTCACCTAAAGTGAAAAATATTTTCTTCTTTATTTTCTAAGTATTTTTCATAAAATTTCTTATAATAAATGTTTGATGAAGGGTGTTTGTTTGTTTGCTCATTGGTAATATGTTTTTTTGTCTTTTTGTTTTTCCCTTGTATTTTTTTTCTCCATTATTACCTTTTTTTAAATGGAAATGTTACAGTAATACCTGGTCTAATGTCTTCTGCTCCATTTTTGTAGAGGGGATCTTGAAAAGCACATGTACCAAAACAAGTAAATAAGCTGATTGTCTACTCTTCCGATTCCTTAACATGTTTTCTCTGAGAAAAAACAGTAAATTTTCTAAATTTCTCCATTTCTCATCTATATCTGCCTTTGATACATCCTTGAAAAACAGTGTTTCTGATACTTCACATGCTCTTATTACTACTCCTAAACTCCTACTTGTAAATTAAAACTCCTACTACTAAATTAAAACTCCAACTGCTAAATTAAAACTCCTGCTACCAAAATTAATTAGTATTGATGTTGGGTAGTATGAAGTTTTTTATTTGTTTTGTTTTGTTTGGATTGTTTTTAAGAATCAGAAAGAACTCTTGGCACTTTACAAAGTTCCCATTTTGCAGGTAGGGAAATGTAAGCACAGAAGGGGATAAAATGATTCAGTCAGGATGACTCATCCAGTGAGAGAACAGGTTTTTGTAACCTCTCATCCTACTTTATTCCCACAAAAGAAGCTAAAGTAACAAAGGATATCCTGATAATTTGTCCCTCCTTCAGCTGCCTGGGCACCCCCTCCCATCTGCTTAAGGTTTCTCCTTGAGAGCCAGAGGCTGTCCATGAATTTTACAGCAGGTGATGGGTTTGGCACGGTGAGGGATGGAGCATCCGCAGTGGTGCCAGCTGGAGGGCACATCACCACCCCTGCGTGTGGTCAGCTTTGGATACCCAGGCTGAGTTTTGCTGAAAAGCACTGCTTGAAAAGTAGTTTCCATTTGGCAAAATTGTTGATTCTCCTGGGAACACTTCACAGGATGAAATAATAAGATGTTAGGGGAAAATAGTTGAAGACATTGTTCCAAAAGCAACTATGTTACAGTGACATTTTTTCATCTGTAGGGACTGATGAGAGATAGTGGACTTTCGCCTTGCTCTCTTGGATTGTGCATTTTGTAATGTTTCCTGAGTGATATAATCACCTCCTTGGTGCCAGCAATTATGGCATGTCCTATCCCAATTTTAGTAATGACATCAGGACCAAGAGAGTAGGCTTTTGGATTCAAGTTGCCCCACAACTCTTTTTTGCACTAAGTCAAGTAAATCATGCACAGTTTTTCCTGGTAACAGGAAACTTTTTCATACAAAAGATGCCCTTATGCATTTAATTTTCTTTTTTTTTTTTTTTTCCCCTACTTGGAAACATATGTCATTTTGTCCTAAGAAACTCTGTAGTTCAGTTGTGATGATTTTTCTGGACTTTGCAAAGATTTTGCTAGTTTAAACTTATATTCTGGTGTTCAGGGAAGGGCTGGTGGAAAGGATGAGGAAAGGCAGCACATTTTTCCCACTGGAGAATGGCAGCAGATGATTTGTTACAGCAGGGAAGATGATTGATGGACAAGAACAGTAGAAAGCAATCATCTCCCTTCCCAAATTTTTAGTGCAAATTGCAGCACAAATACTATTCTATGGAACTGGTTTGTGCTTACAGATAACGTGTAACTAATGAGAAATTTTAGCTGGCCTTGATAGATCTACAGATAGATTTCTGCATGGGACAAGGCCAAGTTGTAAATTTTAAAAGAATGATTTGGTCTTGCTTTGTGAAAAGAATTTCACAAAATATTTTGTTTTGCAGTGCACAGTGATCTTTAACAGCTCTGGCTTGCCAGGTCACTCATATTTATTAAAAAAAGTTTATTATTTTTCCCAGCTTCTTTTCCAAATAGCTACATATAATCTGCTTGTAGGTTAGTTTAAGGCTCTAAAAAAATGCCTTGCTACAAGCAATGTAAACTGGCATTTCTGTTACTACATTCCTTCACAGAGAAAGACTCATTTCTTTGATGAGGCATGCTTAGCTTAGCACTGTGTGTGGTATCTGAAACCTGTAGCCACCAGTGTTAGAGGTTTTTATTAATTTCTAGTTTATTTTTTAATAGTCCTTGAGCATTTTAAGGTTTATGTTCATTTAGATATTTTACCAAATGAGAGTTGTATTAAGTGTATACAAATACATACTTACGTGTATTACATATATACAACTTTACACCTCATATTTTCTGAATTTTGTTGGTAGTTAAAGCACTATATTTATAGCTCTGTAAGTTTTGCTTTGTAACGTTTTCTTTCAGAGTCCAGCAGTCATGTGCTTGGTAGGGATCTTACAGTTGCTGGTAGAAACAGACCATATAGGAGCACAAGAGATTGTAACAAGAACATGCTTATATTACAGTTGTAGTTAATAAAAATAAGACTGTGAATAAAGTGTTCCAAGGATCTTGAAGTTCATCAAACATGCATTATAACCAAAATTGAATGTGTTCTTCTTCATCTGTGCACCAACAGTTAGAAGGCAAATCTGCAACACTGCATTTGAAGTCTGAGATTTCTGATGGTCTGCCATTAACAGCTCTTGGTAGTGTTACAGCAGGCTGAAATAGAAAACTGCAGATAAGCAATAGTAAATGCAAGGGTCTTCAATATGTGCTCAAATGTATACACAATAACCTGATACCCATGTTATTATAACTGAAAAGTCAAGCACAAAAGCCAAGATTGCATTTGACTTTGGAATTTTGGTTTAGTCCTGTGCATAAATAATTTTATACTTTACCTGCGTGGTTCTCTATTATTTTTACTTCACTGAGTAGTCAAAAAAAATGCAACTCAGTTCATGAGATATTCAGTATTCTATCATTTTCTTGCTTCTCATTTTATGTTCACATGCTTTATTGATAATCTGCTGTTCATATGTATTGTAAAAGCAGCTCCAATGCTTTCAGTAGCTTTTCTATGCTGCTCCCCACTATGACACTTTACTACTTCTCACAGATGACTAAATTACTTTTCATATCACCCCTGTGACAGAAGGAATTGTTATCATCCTTATGCAATATGTATTAAACCACAGAGATTAAAGTGGAAGTATTACCCAGCTCAAATATTCAGAGTGTGATGTCTAGGACTTTGGTTTTCTCATCTCCTTGGAATGGAATGACTCTTGCATTGTTTCAATGACATGGTGAGCAAATGTGAGAGGCTGGGTTACAAGGGGGATGTAGCACTTCTACTTGCTTATTCTTACCTTTTTCCATTGGCATTCACTTCTAGTACTCCTAGAGAGAGAGTAGTGGATTTGATGGACCTTTGATCCACCCTGAGCCGTAGCTACTCAGAGGTTATGTGTTAATCTGTGTTTGTGAGTGTTGATGGCTTAAGTATGTAGATACCTCAAGAACTAAAAACATTTAGCTAGTGATGCATGATAAAGTTGGTTATGCATGAATGACTGGTTCATTATCAGGTGCTTTGCAGCTTGAACAAATATTATTTCCAGTTCCTGATGATAAAATTACTCTTAATTCTCAGTAGACCTTTGATCAGAACCTATCTTCTGCAGTGAAAAACACAAATACCCCACCAACAGGGGCTTCTTCCTTAGAGTTCTCCAAAATATTGAAAGAGACAGGAAATTAAAAAAAAATACCACAGTAGCACTTCAGATTTTTTCAATAATGCTGACACATGAGGGGACAGACCTCATGTACCTAAGTACAGCTTGGCCATTACTTATAGCTTTTTTAACGTTTATGAAGAAGTTCACAGAATCGGTAAAAAGTAATTTGCAAACACTTGGCTAACCTATACTTTGTGCAGCAAAATATGAGTCACTAGAATATCTCACAAAACAGTTTTCAGACTGTCTTAAATATGAAAAAATATTATTTTCTCTGTCACTTTCTATCAACAGTTGACCCTCTTTCCCTCTTAAAAACTTGGAAAGGAAGTTGCAGCACAGAATTTAATAATTTAGCAACAAGAAAACACAGTCTTGTAATGTGGAAGGAGGAGGCCACGAGGATGATCAGAGGGCTGGAGCACCTCTTCTAGGTGGACAGGCGGAGAAAGTTGATCTTGTTCAGCCTGGAGAAGAGGAGGGAGACTTACAACACCAGAGAGACATTAGGACACCTTCCAGTACCTGTAGGGGACCTACCAGAATGCTGAAGAGAGGCATTTTATGAGAGAATGTAGTGACAAGTAATGGCTTTAAGATGAAGAAAGATAAGTTTAGATTAAATGTTAGAAATAAATTCCTCATTTGCGAGGATGACGAACCACCTGTTGCCCAGAAAAGCTGTGAATGCCCCACCCCTGGAAGTGTTCGAGGCCAGGTTGGATGGAGATTTAAGAAACCTGATGTAGTGAAAGGTGTACTCCTGCTCATGGCAGGTGGGTTGAAACAAGGTCATTTTTTGGTCCCTTCCAAACCAAACCAGTCTATGATTCCGTTACTCTGTGCTGTATTTTCCGGTATGGGAGGGAGGCAGGGAGTAACCACAAATGCTTAGTGCTGCCACCTTCTGTCACAGGTGCTCTTTGCCAAAGATCTTTGTCACTCATCACAGGGTAAGTGTAGCCATTTTTTCTGTGACCCAGTGTTTATCGCTATTGGGGCTGTATATGATGATGCTTCAGAAAGACATATTTTGCTGGGAAGCTTTGTAATGCACACCAGTGTCATCCCTTAGAATATTTTTACCATTTTTGGACTATGTGGTCTAAGAAACCACCTCTTTTCCTACATGCTTGCTTTATCATGCCAGTAATTCATAAGGAATATATAAGTAATTTAATTGCTTTTGAGAAAGAGATCCAAGTGGATTCACAGAAAGAGGAGGTTGAGCTCTCTCAGTAAATTGAATTTTCCTTCTCTGGCACAAGTTTGGTTCTCAACCAGGCTGTGCTAATATCTTAGGAAAACTGCATTTTAACTAGGATTAGGAAAGATGATTGGTGGATGGTTTGCACATTTTAATGAATTGATAAATAAATATTTAGATATGCTTTGAAATCTTTGGCAAATTACTGAAAAAATTACTGTGTATTACAGTAAATTCATGCCATATGGTCACACTTAGTGCAAGTTGGTTTTGTATCCCTGCGTCCAAATACTGCTCAGAAAGTAGTGGTGCATAAATGAAGTTGGAATAGTTGGATCAAAACTCACCCTGGTAAAAGCCAGGTTTTTTTGAACTTCTTGAAGAAACTAGGTAAAGTGGTTTTTTCATAAAGGTTTGAAGATAGTTCAGTATTTACATCTTCCAGAGGAACCTAAAGAGGCTCAAGAAGTGGGTGCATGGGAAACTTATTAAGTTTAGTAGAACCAAGTGCAAGGTGCTGGACTTGGGTCAGGGCAACACCTGAAAGGATGAACAGATCAAGAGCAGCTCCAGGAAGAAGAACTTGTGAGGCTGGATATGACCCAGCCATGGGCACTCCCAGCCCAGAGAGCCAAACGTGTCCTGGGCTGCATCCAGAGCAGCGTGGGCAGCAGGGCCAGGGAGGGGATTCTGCCCCTCTGCTCTGCTCTGCTGAGACCCCACCTGCAGGGCTGCATCAGCTCTGGGGTCCCTGCACAGGAAGGACGTGGACCTGCTGGAGGGAGTCCAGAGGAGACCACCAAGATGATCAGAGTGATAGAACACCTCTCCTATTAGGAAATACTGAGAGAGTTAGGTTTGTACAGCCTGGAAAAGAGAGGGCTTTGGGGTGACCTAATTACAGTCTTCAAGTACTCAAAGAGAGTTTACAGGAAGGATGGAGAGAGGCCATTCACAAGAGCATGTAGTGACAGGACAAGGGGGAATGGCTTCAAAGTGAAAGAAAGTAGGTTTGGATGAGATATTAGGAAAAAAATTCTTACTGTGTGAGGCACTGGAATAGGTTTTCCAGGAAAGTTGTGGATGCTCCATCCCTGGGGATCATAGAATCATAAAACCACAGGATTATGGTGTGATCTAAGTGAATGGTGGCAGATAGGCTGCAATCAAATAATGACACTAATAGAATGTAGAACCATCAGTCCAGCTGAGACTGAACTCCTAAGAATGCAGTTGAAGTGTATCTGCAGCAATGGCATATGGGGGTGGCAGGGACCAGCAGGCTTGTGGGGTACTTGGAGCAACCCAGGGTTTGCTGCCTAGTCTTTCTCATGTCTGGATCAAGTGCTTCTGTTTTTCAACATTCTTTTTCTCAGATTGCCAAAATATTTCTGATTCTTCAACATTTTTTGAAGATTTTCTCATTCAGATCTCAAGCTGCCACAGATATTAGCAGAAGCACTGGGAAAAAGAGTTACTGTCTTGGTGGCTTTTTTTGTCACTGAAAGTAGGAATATTAGTCCCATTAGGCCTATTAGATCAGAAGAATGACACGAAGTGACTTAGACTTAGTAAAAGCATGAACAGATTACTACACTTCTTGGAAATTATTTTTCATTTAATTTCTCTTGTGGTTCCTGTTTGAATTGTAGTTATACTAAAATAAGACAACTATTTCAGCTTCAAGGACATTTCAAAACATCAAATCCATGTGATAAGATCTGGAATCTGGCATTCTATTTGAACATCACATTAGTAGAAAGAATGTCACTCCAAAGACCAAGTTTAGAGAATGAGACTTACCAGGTGAGGGATGATATTCTCCCTGAGGAAAAAATAAAAGGAATAACAAAGGAATCCCATGGCATAGCTATGAGATAGTAAGGCTAAGCACAACAGGCAGTTTAATAGGTGCCTTAAAAAAGTGTTTCACGCTAAATGGATAGACCACTGAGGTATAATTAAGAATAATGAGGTGAAGCTGTGGAAATCACATCTTCAGCTGAGTACCAGGAAACTCTTCAAAGCTAAAGTACCAAAGAAATTGAATAGTCATCACAGGAAACTCCTTGCTTGGAAACCTCATAACAAAACATAAAGCAGTTTGTTTTGAGGAATTGGATTTCCTGAGATGCTTGCTAGAAAAACATGACACAGAAGATAAATAGATAGTTGGAGTTCCTTTGTTAACATGTTTGAGTTGACCAGTTCTTACAAACCAGTCTGCTTCATTGTTTTATTTGTCCTACACATCTTCTATTCGACTCTTTCCTGGACTTTTAATACTACGTATAGTAATTTTAGATCTAATATTAAGCCTTCTACACTCAAATGTTTGTCAAAACAGTTATGCCAAGAGCAAAAGCCAAATTCTATTGCTAAAAAAAAGTCATGAAATGTCACATTTTATTCTTTTCCTTGGAATTTTGGTGCTGGAAAATCTAACCACACCACTTCTAAATATGGAGTTAATCATAGGGCTTGCTTTCTGAATCACTGAACTGGAAACTCAAAGCCACAACCAGATAGTTGGCTTGGATTCTACAGTGGTACATGAAAATTCAGATTTAGATCATATGTTTCTTTTAATATCATTTGGTTACAATTGACTGGAAATATTTTAAGTAATGGAAGCCAACAAGTTTTCTTAAATTTGCTACAAAGAAAATAAAAAGATCAGTTCACATATAAACTTTTTTTTTTTTTCTTCAAATGTAGAGAGTAGGTACTGCATTACTTCTAAAATTATCAATAAAAGTAGTTCTCCTTTCCTTCCCTTGTTTTACTGAGAGTTTTTTTTTTTTGTTGTTTGGTTGGTTTTTGTTTTTAACTAGTCTTGGGGGAAAAGGCAGAAAGAAAGGAGAAAACAAGATGTGGACCCTTCTGCATCATTGGGTAGACACTGTCAGTAAGGAAACATTTTGAAAGGTCTGAAATAAAGAATTAGCCTGCTATTCAATTCTATAAATCCACTGATTTAGTTTTACTTGGTTTTATTCTGGTGCTGCAGGTTAGCCTGTTCAACATCTAAAATCTTCTGGGAACGTGTGGGAGGAGCAGACTAGTGACAACTTATTTCTTTGTGATAAAGAAAATTCTAAAGTTTCATTTCTCACTCAGGGATAGCTGCCAAAAAAGGAGTCACCCAAGTCAGCTGTTGTCACAGTTTAACACTTAGTGTATTAATAAGCAATAAAAAGGCCAAAGTGAAATCACAAAGACCTACCAAGCAATCTTAGATACAGGCACGCTGTGACCTTTCTGTACAATCCTCCGTATTAATGGTGCATGTCATCAGCTGTGGTGACCCACTGTTTATTTATATCTGAAGCAATACAGTAAGCTTAATAACAATTAACTGACAATAAGCAAAAGCAATAAATTCAGATTCTACTTTTGAAGGCAGCATCCAATCCTTCCCTTTCTCCAGTTGCTAAGGCCTCCTTCCCCCTAGATGGGCTCCTGTCCTGGGGCACAAATAATAAACAGTTTACCCTTTCCTTGGAACCTTATAGTTTCATTACCTTGCTTTTACTCTAAATTAGATCCTGCTCAAAGGGAGTTGCTGCAGGGCAGGTCTTCTGTGATAATTTCAGTGAATTACAGCTGCTATCTACCAAATGCACCTATTTTGTGTGATATTGGTATTGTGCTACCAGGTGAAAAAACAGGACATGACTTCTTGGAAGTGAGGGCGATGAGATGTGTATATAGGTCATAGCACAGATGGCTGGAGAGATTGCTTGACACTAGGACAATGGACTCCTTTGATGGGGGGAAAAAAATTGCCTGTCCCTCTGTAATGTTAAGGATGGCCTTAAAAGATAAGGTGTCCCCAAGAGGTTCAATTAATTTGGCTCTCCCTCCCTGTAGTTTCCAAGATAAGATGAAAGTTGGAAGACACTTAGAGAGGAATAGCAGGAGCACAATCTGCATTCTTAAAAAGTATAGTAAGTTCTTCATTTGAGGGTGAAATATATTTCCTTGTCTCTCCTACTCTTGCATATTCCTCTAAAAACTAAAGAAAATAAACCCCCCAAAATGCTGCAGGATTCCTGCTAAATTCTCAGTACTAAGGAAAACTAACAGCAAGATTTTCTATGCAGCCTTAATTACAAATTCTTGGGTATACTGATTATGATGCCGTTATTCCTTATGTAACTAAAGTCTGTATTTTATATACAGGCCTCCACATTTTTTGTTTAAGCAGCCTTGCAGAGACTAGGAAACCATTTTTTAGGGACTCAAAAGAAGTCCACAGTTTCTTTCAATATTCTAAGAAGCTGTGCAGTCATTAACAACGAAGAAGTGCCCGTAAGATTCAGGATCAGGATTCAGAACCTCTCCTATTCTTGCCACAGAGTCCTGCAAATCTCTGATAATCTTCCTAAAGTTTGCTTTTGGAGTTTTTTTGTACTTGTTGTATTAGGAACACAGGAAAGATCAGCCATGAATGTTTACAAATCACTGAGTTTTGTCCCCATCTTAGTACAGAGCCTGGATGACAGAAAGTGGGAAAGAAGTGCAAACAAGATGAATAGCCAAACAAGGAAAAAAACTTTGAATTCTGGCTCACGTCAAGTTTGTTAGCATTGAACACTGAATAAGGCAGGCTGTAAAGATAAACACTATCCACTATTGCCTTAAAACATTTTGTCAAAATGCAGACACAAAAGTTGCTGAATTATCATTGACTTTTCAGGGCTTTGGCATCTCCAGAATTGCTGCAAAGCTCTTTGAATATATAAAATTCTGTGATGTCTGTGCCAAGTGCTCCTGTCACCAATCAAAGTTTCAGTTTGCATGCATTATGTGAAGTTCCCAGAGCTGGCTGCAGAGCAATGGTGTAAATTCTGTCTTTAAATTGCTACTTACTGCCTATGGAATGAAAGAAAAGGAGTTCCTGTCCTCTTTAGTAACAACTTTCATTAATATTATTATTATTATTATTATTATTAAGGTCATTATGTTTCTCTGTCTTTTCTAATTCATGATGTGGCTTAAAACTTAGAATTAACAGATAAATACAAAGCAAGCACAGCTGTCTTTTTGCAATTTCTGTTCAGGCAAGTTAAAGAGCCTATGCTATTTTGTGTCTTAAACTTTTGATTTTTTCAGTGTATGCAAAAACAAAGAGAAAAAAACTGGTGTGAAATTGTTCAATTCTCCATTCTGATTCTCTCTTATTTTGATACAGTGTAGTCAAAAGTACAGCTTCTTAAAAAAAAGACTTGTGAATCAGAAAAAAAATTTGTATGATTTTTATTGTAATAACTCATCTTTTGATTTAGAGTTCTACAAGCTTTTGTATCTGAAAATGTTGGCAAATGTCTCAGAAAGATCTAAAAATGACACTTATCTACTGTAACATTTCAGAAGCTTTTTAATATAAACATAGGTTTCTGAACAAAACAGTTCTGTATTCACACTCCCCTTTGACTGTAGAACTGAGATTTTTTTTTTCCTGATGCGTATTTTCAGAAAAGACTTTTTCTTGGAACAGCACGAGGCAATCCATCCGATATATTTGGATCTTGTTTTTTTACTTTTTACACCCATCTAGTGGTCACCAGGCTGTACAACAGGATAAAATTTCTATTGCACAAGCTTGTTGTTACCTGGTGATGCAAACCAAAGAACTGCTGATGACACTCCAGTTCTACCTTAAAGACTTCTAAATTTCAAAAATTCACCATGTTACAATCTGAAAGTGAAATCACTCATAGAAGCCTGCCATAGTTTCTGACTGGAAGAAACAAGACTGGTAGTATAACATTCATATGATGTTCACAAAAGGGCGATGAAGAAAATAAAACAAAACTGCAAATAAAATGGCATTCCTTTAATCCAACTCAATACTTTTGATTCACTTGAATATTTAAGCCCACTGTTAAATAAATCAGTTTAGTATTAATTCTTTATTCAAATATTCCATCCTGTGAGCAGGATTTATATTAATCTTCATTTACTTATATCCAGCTTTTAAGTTTTGTTTTAAAGTTCCCAGGCAAGCTTATATATATTTGAAATTATACTGCCATTGCAGAAATTAGTCTTAATGAGAACAATTTTCTGTTTTTCCTAAAATTGAAGGAATTATCTGCCCTCTTGCTTTTAATAGAAAAACAAAATATACAGACTATGTATTGATTAGGAATCTGTTTTCCCGAAGTTGTTTAAAAGGGAAAGTTATTCAAGCAATGAAATATAAATTTTAGGAAATCTGGATATGATGAGCTAAACCCTTCATTAGTATTGTGATTATTTTGTGCTTCTGCAATATTTAGGAATTCAAGCTAAAAGGTATTGCTTGATTACAGGAAATAGTATAACAATGGTAATGTGGCTATGAACTAATGACACTACAAACTGCAAAGGATATTTTATTGTAGCATTCATAGTATCTTGACTTTTCCAATACATTCTCACATACTCTTTGTGAGCAAATCTCAGTCATCACAAACATGCAACAAATGAGAAAAAAGAAAGGTAAAGAGGAGCTCCAGACAGTCCAAGATCACCTAGGAAGCTGGAGGTACAGATCTCATTTGGTGTCTCATGGTTTAAGCTTCCTTAATTTGAGGCTGATATGCAGTAGGACATTTAAAGACACAGAAGAAAGTATACAGGCATAATCAAATTTAATCAGTCCTGGGAAGAAGTGTATGTTCTTGGATTTACTGACAGGTAATTGTTCTAAAAACTACAGGGAAAAGATAATTAAATTACTATGCTCTCCTGAAGTTTTTAAATAATATTTTCTGCACTTATTTTATGTAAAAGAGAAACCAACAAGCCAACTACATTTGCTTTTCTACATTCAAGCTGTAAGTGCTGAATATGAAGAAAATAATATAGTCTGAATGTGGCAGTAATCTTTCAGGTCCAGAAATATGTGTAAAGTAAAAAATAAACAATGAAATAAATCATGAAGCAAAAATCTATGCCTCTGTCAGGCAGTGTGCATCTGTGTCAAAATAAGCAATATATGTTTCTTTGATTAGTTCATTTAACAAAGGGAAAAAGTGGTCATAGGAATGCTGTCAGCATTTAGCAAAGGATTGAAATGGCAACCTCACTGAAACCATAAGTCAATGGGAGATAAAATAAGCTGGTTCAGAGTAGCATGTACCAGCTGTGAGACTTGTGCTAGACTGAAGTCTAATCAACAGCTGATTTACACTGCATCTTTTCTGCTATCATTAGCTGTACCTGGAAACCTGTGGGTGTCCTTCAAATGAACACCATTTTAAAAATGAGTACTTTACATGGGTTCAGAAAAAATGCATAATATGGTGCTAGCACTTATCTATGTTTAAAAAAATCATCTGAAAGATCCTCTATTCATCCCTCATTCTTAAATGCTTTACCAGTGTTATTTTTGTCCCCATTAGTATAGCAAATGAGCCTAGAGACCTAGTCTTGCTAACCCACACATTTGTAACCTCTCAGATTGCATACCACAGGACATCCAAACATGAAGCCACACGCTGCAAAAAGCCTCCATATAGTATCAAATGCAGCTGTTGGGCTGTCAAGCAGGACAGGTTGCTATGAACACGTCCTCTCAGCACCACCCACCCTGTACCAGTGTTTAATTGTTTGCAGACTCCCGTTCAAGGTCTTGGCAATGATTTTCAAAGCCCTTTGTGGAAAAATTACAGTCTATGTAAAACAGAATCTACAGTCTCCTTCTCTTTCTTTCTGTTCCCTCGTCCTTCAGCCTCTCATGAAAAAAGTGTTCTCTAAGAATGATAAGCCTCTTTACCACTCTTCATACCAAACACAACAAAAGTGCTGAATCTAAACTGTGTGGTTCAAAGACACAAGTGGCTACAGAGGTTCTGCTGCTTGGCCATTAACAAAGGATTCACTGCTTCCATCTGTTTGTAAAACAACAAACCTAATGCAGGCAGATGTGCTCAAGCACACACATATGTTTTAGTCCCACCCCAGCACCCAGCACTCTATTTACTGGGACAAGATAAAGTGTGTACTTGAAATATTTTTGTAGTTACAAAAATTAGGTTTGGGTACTCCATAAGTAAAAAGCCCTCAGCTGCCTTAGCAGTGGGAGACAGGATAATTGGTGTCCAGCTCAGGAGGGATGGGAGCTGAATAAGTAAATAATGAAACATCATGTTTCCTCTGGTGTAGAGCTCATGGATACCCTACATGCAGAAAAATATAAGGTTTCCTGAATTTCTAATAGCATAGGATTTTTCTCTGCCAATTTTCTTTTTCTTTAGACTTGGGGGGGTTGTTTTGTTCCTCAGTAATTTTGAAGTATCTCTCTCGTGCAACTTGTGTTTTTTCACAGTGTTTTTAGCAGTGACCATGACCAGGTCTTTATTTCTCTATTACTATCAAGAAGCAATTAGCTATGATAATTTGTCAGAAGGGTGTTTTTTAAATTTTAAAATTCTTAGGTCAATAACATAAAAACAATTTCTCTTCTCTTTGCAGTTTCGATGTAGACAATGGTACATCATCAGGACGAAGTCCCTTGGACCCCATGACAAGTCCTGGGTCAGGACTCATTCTTCAGGCAAATTTTGTCCACAGTCAACGTAGGGAGTCTTTCCTTTACCGGTCAGACAGTGATTATGATCTGTCTCCAAAGTCCATGTCCAGGAATTCCTCCATTGCCAGTGATATGTAAGTACCTTTTAAAATATGTCAAAATAGTCTATAATTTGTCCAATATCAAGATTTTTGCAGCCACAAGAATTTTTACTTTTTTTTTTTTTTTAATCAGACTGTAATCACTTGTGCTAGTGAAGGAATGGAAAATTGTTTGTTTATTTCTTTAATGAAGATTATAATTGTTCCTGCAGCTTTTTGAAGAATATGAAGAAGGTGTACTTGACATGTTTATGCACTCTATTAGCTTTGACAGAATAATAATGATAGTCAATACTGTGTACTAAAACACTAAGGAGAACTATTTTCTATCCCTAAAGTTATTTTCAAGAGAAACAATACAAACTCAATTTATGCTTCTTTATTATTTTAAGAAATAGATTCCATTTACTTACAACTGGAGTCTTTTAGGTTTTTAGAGAAAAGATTTACCAACTGGCAGAAAATAATATATTTGAGAGAGAGAAAAAAATATTTCTAATACCCTCTCAACTAAAAGGCAAAATTCTAACAAAAGGCATTTTTAAGCTAATTCTGATCTCTGTCACTATTCTGTGAAGTGTGTATTTTCTGCTAGTGAGTCATGCTTTTCAAGTATGTTTGGAGCACAGGTTCCACGTGTAGTGGAAGTCAGATGCAAATCTCTGTTTTATTTTCAAGATGCCAAAAGTATTAAAGTGTTTCACTTTTAAGTAAGAGAAATTAATAACTCTTTTCTGTTTGGCTGGGCTTTTTTCCTAAATGGCTTCAAATTTCATGGCCAAATTGGTGTTTATGGTTCAAATATAGATCTAAAATAAAAGATCAGGCTTGTCAGAATGGCACAGTGCTGTTTTTTAGGGAGGCAAAGACCAACAGATATTGCCTTTGAAAAATAAGAGTAGGCACAGAAAAGGATAAGGGTTTTCATGAGTGAAATTACAGCTGATATTTAACTTGAAGTCATAAATGAACACTCCTATTTTTTTCAGCTTATATAACTTTAAGAACTGTTATTTTGTTTAATTATAGCTCTTCTTCTGTGTAGAGTGTCAAGATAAGAAAAATTCCTGTCTTTAGAGAGGGTTAGTGGAAGGTCTATGACTCAGTTAAGATTGAAGTACTCAGTAAGCTTTGTGTCAAGTGGGACCAGTTTTTGTTGAGACAAAATGGGTTAGAAAAAGAGCAATTCGTCTTGCTTCATTGTTAAAAAAATGTATTTTTCTTGGGGATAGTATCCCCCTTCCAGCAAATCTGACAGATATCCTGTTTTTTTAGAGGGAGAAGATTCAAGCTTTTAGTATGGTACCTGTACCAGGATAACATTTGCAAAGATTTTTACATTCAGGAGGACAATCCAGCTGACTGCATTGCTTAGATGAGTCATTTCAATGAAAAATTCAATTAGTGCTCCATCCTTGAACTCGTAATCCACTTCATTTCCTAGAATTTTGGGTAATATTTCAGCACATGGCAGTAAATTGGATAAACAGTATAATTACTGAAAAAGCACACATTTTCCCCCTTTTTCCCTCTCTATTCTTCCTTTCAAAATTTTCTGAAAACAGATTTACATATAAAATTTATTTGACCTCACATCTTGATAGATTTTCACAGTCTCTTGTCACAGATGAACTTTTGTACTAAGAAGGTAAATATTCCTGACACTGTTTAGGAGGGGGAGCACATTAGGAGATGTAAAAGGCAAGTTGTTCTCAGATGGAATAATCATCATTTATCAATAAGTCTAATTATAATAAGCTTGGCTGTATCACAGAAATCAAGTGAAAGAAAGAAAGGGAATAAAAAGAGGGGAAAGTTTAAAAAGATAGAATAGCAAGGAATAAAAAATAAAAGTAATGAAAGTCCTTATGTATGTATTCAACCATAAACTGAGTATGCTTATAGAAAGGAAACAAATTGAATATCATTAAATAAAGAAACATTTCTGATTCAGGACCTTACAAAATGAGGTAGAAGATTAAAGGTTCTACAAGGGAGGTACACAAATTTTAGGTTAGTCCCAAATGATCCTGTTTGCCTTGTGCATCTATATACATGCTTAAATATTGTTTATTTTTTAAACATGAGCAATATATATTGCAAAATATCTACATCATTCAGGTTATGTAAGTCAGTTAATTGTGCATAGCAGTTTAGTCTAGATCCCCATATTCTTCAACCAGCCTCAATATTTCACTTTGTAAAGAAAAAGACAAGGCAAAAGGCACATGTCTTGTATTTGTAAGGGATAGAACATAAAGAATTCTGGCATTTCCGTCACTCTGAAATACTGAACTTACAGTAATACATTCCAGTCAGCAGCAACAAAAGCAATACTTCAAAGATTTAGTCAAATGTAGAATGTCATGTGAAGACAGCCAGTGGATGGCAGTGCTAAAGTGCTGAATTCATCGTGCCATTATTTATTATGTATGCAGCTCCAGCCGAGGAAGGGAACAAGTTGTGCTCAGTTGTTTGCAAATCTGAAATGAAAAGATGGGCTCTGCTACAAACAACTTATCAAGTCAAAATATAAGATGATAACCAAGAGATTAATACAGTCAGATGCTATCCCCGGGAGAAGATACAGTCCGAATCACTATGCTCAAAAGAGTAAACCTCACAGAGACAGCAAAGAGAGTTTCAGTCAGGGAGTTGGGATGGAAAGTAAAGAAACAAGAGCAGAGAAGGGACAGGTGGAAAGGTTTTTAAAAACAGAAAATCCGAAGTATATTTTGATGAATTAGTTGTGGGAAAGAATGAAAAGACAGGATCAATGCAAGGCTGCTTTGTTGAGAGGAGGTTTGTGGGACAATTATGTTAAGCAGAAAATGCAGCTGAGTGTAAGAAAGGAAAAGCACATAAAATGGAGAAATGGGGGTCATTAACATTGTTTCAATTATCCCTTGGAAGAAATAACATGGTCTTTGAGAATAATAAAAGCAGGACATGGAGGTTAAATACAGAGATTAGGAAAAGCTGCTGAAGTTTGTGAACTGGAGAGGCAAAGAGTTTAGACAGGAAGATGCAAGGTCCAAGGCACATGAGCACATGTTTGTTGTGAAGCCTCTCTGTGGAATTTCCAGCTGAGATAAGAATGTACAAAAGAAAAAGAAGCTACTGAGGCAGTGGGGGGTAGTGAGATAATATGAAGAATTATAGTTCAGGATCTGTGATGGAAGACAGGAAAACAAGTTTAAAGGGATGGAGAATGAAAACAAAACAACCAAAAACAACAACAAAAAAATTCCCAACAGCAGCACAAAGAAAGGGAGTAGTATCTAGATTAAAGATGTGCAAAATCATTATTGGAAAAATTGTCAGGCCTATATTTGAAGATACTAGTGTAGCAGAGAGTTAGGTGGATGTCTTGCTGAGGTGGCCTGATTGCTTAATGCTTGTTTGAACTGCTGTGGCTTCCCAGAACTTGCAAATGCCGGAAGATGTAGAAGTGATAACACTTTTTATGCCCTTCTTGTTAAGGGATCACTATTGTGCTTAATGGAGCAAGAGATTGAATTAGTAGAGAACTTCTGTTTTAGCAAAACCCAGGTCCTATTCAGGTTAAAAAACAGGTTCCTAGAAAAAAAAAAGGCCAATAAGCTGTTCACTGCAACATCACAGCCCATGTTTTTGCCACTCTGAAGGTTGAGGACATGTATAATCCCCCTGTGACTCTGAAAAAGCAGAGCAGAGGGTAGCAGTCTAGACCAGAGGACCAAGACATTCTTAGTAGACAGGTCTGTCCAAGCTCCATTGTGTCTTCTGAGTGTAAGAAGACATCTTCTGACCTCTCATTTAAGTCCTCCCATTTCCACAAGCTCTCAGAATACAGCTCACACTCAGCATCCTGGTCTTCTCAGGACTTGGCCAACTGAACCTCACTCATAAAAAAGCAGCTGCTGGGGAGTTTTAGCCTTCTTTAGAGAAGCTCAGCATTTTTTCCTTCACCAGCTTATCACTATAAGCTTCAGCTAGTATTATTACACAAAATTTGCTGATTTCTATTAAAACTATTTCTATCAGAACTATTTCTATTAAAACTTGCTTGCATGCATTAAAGGAGCAGAACCCAGGCAAGGAACACTGACTGTGGGGAACTGCAGGGTGACTGGTCTGGTGATCTGCTAAATGGCCACCATACACCCATTCCCTGAGCTGGGCAACCTACTGATACTCTGACAGTAACTTCTGAAGACAGCAGCATCCCTCTGCTACTGTCTGTGATAAAAGAAATATCAAGAGGATGAAGTTTACTCTGGGACATTTTCCTATAACTACAGTTACAGAAGATATATATTCTCATCCTCTAAGGCAAGCTTATTCTTTTGTTTCTGAGCCAGTAAGGCCTGGTTTTATTAATAAAATATTGTGATTATGAATCTTAAGTTATGGAGAAAACACCCACCTTTTTCAAGAAAGCAAGGATTCTAGGACAGCAGACAAGACATGCTTTTACTGAGATGAGTAATTGCACTTTAGTTTAACAAATTAATAATAATTGTCTTTTCTCCAGAAAACTTGCAGCTGAAATTCCTTTTGATGTATCATATTCTTTTCTAGGAATCTCTGATATTACTGTATCATGGGTATTTTTTGAGTTATAAACAAAAAAATATTTGGAAAATAAAAATATGGCTCGGTCCTTTCTGGTTGTTTGACACGTTTTAGGGGTGGAAATCAAAACAAAGGACTTAGAATGCAACCAGCTTAAAGCTGAATAATAAACTTGTGTTAACTTTGTTTGTTGATAAGGAAATAGGTTATATTGGAAAACTAAAAGAAAGCATTTTTGCATTGAGAAGACTTTATCTGCTTTTTTATTCAGAGGAGAATTTTTGTTGATGAAATGCAAATTTATTTTATTTACCTTCAACCAATACAGAATCATGGTTGGTTTTGTGTGAGATTGCTAAAACCTTACTATTTTCCAAACAGAGATCCCAGTTGTTAAACACATCACTTCCCCTTTAAACACTTTCAATGTTTTAGGCTTTTTTTCTTCCCTCCTCTGCAAATAATGTATGTTTGAA